ATTTAACGAACGGATCCCGGTTCAAATTACGCATGACACATACATTTTTTTGTATTTTGCTTTAATAAAAATAAAATGGGCAAAAATTATAAATAATTAACAAAATGCCATGTAAAATCCAAAAAATTGTACAATAGGACCATTTGTTATTGTTTTTATTTCTTTTTGGAGCGATTGTCGCGTAAAGCAAAAATCACGTGCTCACAGCGCGTATCAACTTCAGAAGGCTCGAATCTAGCCAAAATAACATAATACTATCAATAAAAGCCATAAGAAGTGATTCCAAAAGATAAAGCTAAGGTTTTTAACTCAAATAAAAAAGTCAACCCAAAAAATCAATTCCAGGCACGCACCTCGGAACCCGACAAAATTTACAAATTCCAACACCCATTCAATTACGAGTCTAACCATACCAAAATCATCCAATTTCAACCACAGATCTCCGCCAAATCCACAAATTTCATTCTTCAATAACATAGTCCAAAAATCTCCAAATTCTAACTTAGATTCATGAGAAATAGGTGAAATGATCAATGGGTATTCAATATTTATGGACAAAAGTGATTAAAAGTCACTTACCTCTTCAAATTAGGTGCAACCCTCTCCAAAAATCACTCTAAACCGAACTTCAAAGTCCCAAAAATGAGAAAAACAATCAAACCCTCGTTTTTAACACATTACCAGCAATTTCACTTTTACAGCCTCCATTACAGCACCTGCTATTCCGCTTTTGCTAAAAACGTATCGCTTCTGCGAAGATCCGCAAGCCAGGACCCTACCGTACCTACAACACTCCAACTGCACCTGCGGCATCGCATCTGCGGTCAAGCCCACCACAGATGCAATTACACCAGTAACTCAAATTCTTCACGAATGCATTAAATCCAACTTTTGATCTGTTAGCCATATGTAAATCACTCGAGAACCCCGAGACACTATCAAAACATACCAACATATCATACAAACTTAGTCAAACCCTCAAATCACATCAAACAATATGAAAAACATGAATCACCCCCCAATTCAAGCATATTGAAACTAATGAATTTCTAACTTCTGAAACCAATGTCGAAACCTATCAAATCAACTCTGATTGACCTCAAATTTCGCACACAAGTCATAAATGACACAACAGACCTACTCCAACTTTCCGAACCAAAATTCGAGTTTGGTATCAACGAAGTCAACTCTCGGTCAAACTTCTCAACCTTCGAAACCTTCAACTTTCCAACTTTCGCCAATTCAAGTCAAAATGACCTACAGACATCCAAATAAATATTTAGACATACTCCTAAGTCCAAAATCACCATACGTAGCTATCAGAACTATCAAAACTCCATTCCGGAGCCGTTTACACATAAGTCAACATTTGGTCAACTCTTTCAACCTCGGGACTGTGTCCCAATTCATTCTGAAAAATCTGCGGAACCAAACTAACCACCCCGGCAAGTCACGTAACCATAGGTGAACATAGAATAAGTAATAGGGAAAAATAGCTACAATACGCAAGACGGTCGTCCGGGTCGTCACACTTTCTAATAAATACAATCAATAATTTTGTTAAAGAGCGAAAAAATAGAACTTTAAAAAATTCAAGTAATGAATCACAAGCAAAATTAAAACTTACTTCAAGTTTAGCCCACTAGTAGAATCTCCTTCCGAGGTTGTTTGTAGTCATCAAAGTGAAGAATGCAGAAGTGGAGGCCCAGCTCCAGTGGTTCACCGCAGAAGTAGGAGGATTATCGCTTCTGCGACGCTGCAGATGCAGTTAAGTTCCGTAGAAGCGAGAAAGCTTGGGCAGATTATTTAAACGAGGGTTCCAAGATTTTCACCATTTTAAACATTTCAAGCTTGGGAATGGGCGATTTCTGAAAGGATTTTTGAGGGGTTTCTTGAGGTAAGTCACTTGTGCTTATTTTTATTCGATAATCTTGTTTCCCCATTGATTTTCCCACCTAGATTATGTGGTTTTGAGGTGTAATTATGGAGTTTAAGGCTAGGGATTTGGAGAGTTTAATTAGGGGATTTGGGTGATGATTTGGTATCGGATTTTGGTAAATTTAGTATGGTTTGAAATCGAGGTTGATTGAGCTTTCAGATTTTGTGACTTTTATCGGATTCCGAGACATGGGCCCAGGGGCCGGCTTTTGAGTTGACTTTTTGACTTTTGACCAATAACTTAGTATTTTCTTATGGAATTGATTGCTTTAGCCCGTGTTGATTGTATTGAACTATTTGTGGCTAGATTCAAGGCATTTGGAGACCGATTCGTGAGGCAAGAGCGTGTTGGAGTAGGGAATTGCACTGTTTTAGGTAAGTAACATTTCTAAATTTGGTTCTAAGGATATGAACCCTGTATTATGTGTCATGTGATTGTTTTTGAAGTGTCGTATATGCTAAGTGGCGGGCGTGTAGGCGTGCACCATAGGAATGGTGACTTGGTTGATTCCATGGAACTGTATAGTTGAATACTCTATTGTTATCCGTATACTCCATGTGTAAAAGAAATTGAACTGCAAATCATGTTAGAATTCATGTTTAGGCTATGTGTTGGTACTGTGGGGACCCATGAAGGCTGTGCTACATGTTGAATTATCTGCTAAATTGTCGTTTTATACTCAGTCACAGATTTACTTGCATATTATATCTTAGCCTCTATTGTTATTTATTGATACATTATATCATCGCTATTTGGGCTGATTATCATGATTATTGTAAGTCCTAGAGACTGGAGAGATTGATGATTGAGTGAGGCTTAGGGCCTTATTGTGAAGATATTTATGGAATCCGGATGTACGTCGCAACATGTTTTTTACTAATTTACGCCATGATTGGCTTGTTATAGCGATTGGGCTGAAGGAGCCCCTCCGGAGTCTGTACACACCCCCAGTGAGCACAGGTACCTACTGAGTGCCGAGTGCAAGTGCCGAGTGAGTGGGAGAAATGAGAGACTGTGAGGAATGAGTGACTGTGAGGTTGGAGTGAATGGGAGGACTGAGTGACTGTTGCTCTGAGATTATGCACTTGATTTCATTACTGTTGTACTTCAACTTGCATATATCACTGTCATATAATTTTCTGAGAGATGTCATATCCCGTTTCAATTAAACTTGACATGAATTAACTTTTTTTGGCCTAAATTGTCGAACTTGAAAGCATGCCTATTTTCCTATGCTATAATTTCTGTGATTAAACTATATCCGTGAAGCTCGTCACTACTTTCAGTCCATTATTTAGTCTTGTTACTTATTTGGTTGGCTGTACTCACGCTACACCCTGCACTTTGTGTGCAGATCCAGGTATTTTCGGATGCGATGAGTGTTGATTCTCTGTGCAGCTTGATCGTTTGGTCGCAGACCTTGTCTCTCCTTCCCAATCTTTCAGCTTTATGTATTTTGTTTCAATCTTTCATAGATAGTATTTTCAGACTTATGTTGTTTGAAGCTCATGTACTCAATGACATCCCGATGTTGGAAATTTTCGTATTGGGTTTTGACCTTCTATCCATTTTTTGAGACTTTGATGATTTAAACATTTGTTATTTTATTTTTCATTTCAAAGTGTTGAAAGTATGAAGTGTTAGCTTGCCTAGTACCACGTTAGGCGTCATCACGACAAGCTAAGTTTTGCGTCGTGACAAAGCCTTTTTAAACTATTAATGATAGTAGAGAGACATAGACTCATTTCTGTTTTTAATAACGGTGGAATACTATTTCATGGATAACTCCACAAAATTGCATTGGTTGCCCCCTAATGGTTGATATTTAAATATTGTCCTCGTTTTTAACTTTGTTACAAAAATAGATATATATCTTCGTAGCCAAGAACAACATAGTACTTACATATTGGAAGCTTGAATTTCTTGTTTGGAGGTGCAAACTAGAAGTTAATGATTAATTTGTTAAAATTACTTAATACATATAGATAATTTGTGCTTAACTTTTTAGTTCAAACACTGTTTTAATGATTTGCTTTAAAAGTCGTTGTACTTCATTTTGGTCCTTAAAAATATTGAAAAACACAAACTGATTCTTTTTTATTTGGTCTTATTTGACTATATTGGTAATTGAAGATTGTTTGTGTTGGTATTTGGAGGTTTTATTTTAAATTTAAGATCATTTGGAGCAAATTTGGGTTGGTTTTATCGAAACTAAAATTTTAATTTCGAACATAAACGAATTATGTCAGTTGGGTAGAGTTAGGTGGACAATTTAACATATAGGTTGATTGTACAAATTTTTTGGTTAAATTTACAAAAAGTATTGGTTAGAATTCTATTTTTCTCATCATAGCTACCATTCTAATTTTTAAACACGTAACAATTTATTACATATTAAATAAAATTTTACTATTTAAACTTGCACATCTTTAAAATTTATATTTTTATGATGGTGGAGTCCGAGTCAACTTGCAAGTATTACACTATTCCACCAGATACTTGATATTTATAATCAATACATATATAAAATAACTCTATCCATCAAAGTTTAAAATAATCACCAAATATTTTTTTATTCCCATCGAAACTTCATAATTCTCCTTCAACTTCATTAATTATTAGGCTACTATTCGTATATTTGTAATTTGGAATTCTTTTTTTCAATCAGACTAGTAATATAGGCTTGACTAGAATTGTATTTTCTTGACGTAGCTACAGTTCTATATCATAAAATGCAAGCTATTTTGAGCTTAAGGAATGAAAAAGCCAAAAAAAGAAAAAGTTTATGGGAAACAAAATTCAAACGGTAAATGGAGTCAAGTTTTAGAGAAAATTTTATGCATTATCCGGATTTTTTTTAAAAAATTTGGTCTTCACTCGGTAAACTTTGTATTCGAGATTTCCCCTTCCCGGTGAAAGGAAAGCTGAAAATTTTACTCACCACCGGTTGAAAGACTGGTAACAGAATTGACAACTGTCTCTGCCCGCAAAAGAAGCTCCACCGTCACGTATTCCGTTAATTCCTTCCCACTGAACTGATTCTCGCGTTTTAAATCCTTCCCTTCATTCCCTCCTCTCCCCCTATCCCGACACTTCTCTCTCTTTCTTTTTCTTTTGGCCTCCGCTTGGTACGTTTTTCCTTAACATTCCTTTCCCCACCTTTAATTTCATCTCTCTCTAGAAATTCCATATGTGCGTATATTATAATAAGCTCCGATTTATTAACCTAAAACTAATTCCATTTTTATTTTTCTCCTCGTGCATGTGCTGATTTTCAGCCAGAGGCTGCTTCTTATCTTCATTGTCAAGCTTCGTAAGTTTCCTTCGTCGTTTCAGTCTTCACCGATTGTATAAACGTATGCGTTTTTGTGTATATAGTGATTGATAATGTACGGAACTATTTTATTTGTATGTCGTGGTGTTTTTGTGTGTGTCAACGATTGTATCCATGTGTGTGTTTATGCTCATGCTTATGGATTTACGAGAGATTTTATGCGTATTGTTGATTATCATGATCAAAGTTGATCTTCATTTTATATAGGTTCAATTGTAATTAAAATTCAGTCGGTTAAGACTAGTAAATATATATACCTGAATATACATGGTGTGTGTATCCGGTGCATCTGCATAATGCATGATGTGAGCGTAATTACATGTGTCTGATCATGATTGTGAATGTACGTACTGTAACGTGTCTGTATGTGTTTATTGATGAATTAAGTGGATCTGTGTTCAATCATGATTGTGAATGTATGATAATATGTGTGTATGTGTTTAATCATATATGTGGATGTATAAGCGTTACTTTTCGTGAATCAGTTTTATTTAACGTGTTTGATCGCGAATATTGATGATTTTATGAGTGAATTAATATGTATATTTTGAGCAGAAATTGAACGGAAGAGAGGGAGAAAGGAAAAGCGGAGCTGGAGGAGCTGGAAGGGAGCGGTGGTGTCGAAGCCTAAGCTACATTCAGTTAGCTAAGCTACCGACAACACTGACTTAGGAGAGAAAAAAAATCAAAAATGACGAACCCGGCTAGACCGGCGGAGGGAATGGATCCCCAAACACCGGTAGCGGGTGGAGCGGGGCCGTCGTCACTGACTCGACGGCCGTCACGCAGCGCCGCCACCACTACCTTCTCTATGGAGGTGTTTGACAACGAGGTTGTTCCCTCTTCTCTCCAGTCCATTGCCCCAATCCTTCGCGTCGCTAGAGA